TTGAATTCGGGTTCTGTCCTCACATGCCTCTGTGGAACCTGTTATGATAATCTGAAACACTTTCAGAAAGTTGAGAAAGGTCTTTTCACAGCTTCCACAAAAATTAGTTCTAACATCCTGGCAATAATTGAAAACCTGATTCAGGATCGAATAAAAACATCATGAGCAGCCATACTCAAATCATAAAGCTCAGTATCTGGGAAATTTTTTGACTTTAATTTATCTTCATTTTATTGTTTCATTTGTTCTTTGTGTTCTTTTCAAATGCATAACTCAGTTTCAAGATGTCGGTTTCTAATGATATTCTAACAATGATTGATTTATGATTTCAAGTGTGTAAAAACACTAATAGAGTCGAATTTAAAAAATATGAGAATAAGTCAATTTCAGATTTGATATATTTTGTAATGTACGTTTATTTGCTTCAAATTAATAACTGTGACTAGATCGATTGGAATCAATTATTCGCATCCATGCTAAGTGAAATGGGGTTACCGCCAACAGAAAATGTGGACATCCTAGCTGAAGATCTACATTGCTTGCAGGATGCCTGCAGAAATTTCCAAGAAGCTATCAAACAAAAGCAGGGGAGGAGGTAATTTAATAAAATTTATTTTACTTTTACAGAAACAATTTGTTCATGAAGATATTATATCGCTGTACTTTCGGCTAAAATTTCCATAATAAGTAATAACATAAACGCCTGCACACATCTAATGATTTTTCCACTGCATGGACATTCTGCATGATTCATACCTCAACTAACGCATACACTATCTAATAATTTATCATGTTATCACGACTGAATAAACATTTAGTTTGATCATGAATTTAATTTTTTAAGGGTATATATTCGTTTATGTCCTTCACGTAAAATATCTCAGCATTTGCAATTGATCACTTCATGTAAACGATATTCAAACTATTTTAAGACGATATGTGTATTTCACATTCACCATTATTTTTTCCAGCAAAGATTGTCTAAGTGATATATTTTTCATGAAGCAAAATATGTCCTTTGATATGTTTGTTTCATTGAAGACGATTACCAGACGAATATAAGGCTCAGTTTTTTAACAGTGGTTAATCATTTTCAAAAACATATTCGTTTTTGAAGTGCAAAGTGAACTTCGGATCTAACAAAATAAAATTATTAGTTAAGATGTTCTGTTCTGAATGGAAGTGAATGTCGGAATTACTTCGATGTGTAGTTAGAGTGATAAAATGTGGTCATGTAGAATTTATGTTCAATCTTCGCGTAAATCCAACATTATAGTTGTATGCAATATCTCCCTCTCAGTTTAATACACACGTGTCTAAATGAATCACTTATACTTCACGGACGATATGATTATCAGTTGAGCTGAATGTAATCATGAAGATCACTAGGTAATTTTTTATAGAGAGAAATTAAAAAGGATCATGGAGAATATCCATTTCGAAGTGAATAAAACTAGGTTAATTTCACAACAAACAATATCTTTAACAAGCAGTGTTTATTATGTCTGTTGCATTTTATATTCATGTGATAAGGTAAAATATTTTTTATGGTTCATCAACATTATTTTTCTTTAGACGACGAAGATTTTTAACAAAAAATGTTGTTTTTATAATCACTTTTGTAGAGATGTACATAATATGATAGTGATTAGTTTCTTATACAACATGAGAAGTACTTTGAATGAACATTTCGGAGAGTTTTATTCTCCTGATAATCGTAAGTACCGTTAACGGTAACATTCAATTTTGTCATGAACGATCAATTAATTTGCCAATGAGGTTTCAAAATTGAATAAAGACAAGTAGCCGTAATTTCTTTCAATACTGAAGCATCAAGCATTGTGATGTGTTGACAGTTTTTCAACTCACTCAAAAAATAACGAGTTGAGCAAATTCCTAATAATTTTGAGTCATTTATTGCACATTCATAGCTTATTAAATAGTGGTGATATCGGTCTCGTTATATTCGCTCAATTAGCTTTCAAACATTAACACCCATCTGTGTTTGTTTTGTGATATTAACAACTAAATGAACTCCTAGAACAGGCAGAAAGTCATTTATTTGAAATCCCCATGCAAACTGAAATAGTTACGTGCATGTAAACCAGAATCGAGGATCACGAAAAATAAAACATGAATCGACAGATTATTAAAAGTTTTTTTATCCTTTCCATAAGTTTGATTAGTCATTTTATAAAACGCTTTGATGCATTTTCTCTGTATTACTAATCTGCTTATCTTTATTTTGGTTATCATGAAAAGAATATTTTCTTTTAACAACGTAATCTTTAGATAATACTTCGACAAGTTGCATTGATGAAGTGCGAGAAAATTTCCGATGGATTTTTGAACGAAACAATGAATTTCATAATTTAAATGCGAAAACTGAAGATGAAGTGAGATCAGTATTGCATAATTTATCAAGAATAGGCTAATGCAACACAGTATTCTGTTTTACTACTACACTTCTGAAAGCATCTTACATTCGATTTGATTCATGAAATAACGATTTATAATTTTGTTGTCCGTTATGTACACATATATAATAACATTATTATTATAGACTATCTTTAATTCGGTGATATGTTGATTCTTCATAGCCAGTGAAAATTAATTTATCTCTTTACGTTTTAATATCTAAAATTTTGTTTAAAAATATTTAGTCAGTTTTTGATGATTACAATCAACTATCAACATTTGTTAATTATAATCAATATGTCTGCTATATGTGTTATATAGGTTTTCTTGATGTACAAGGAATTGAAAAAAACACTGATAAAATCATTGCAATCAAAGTCGTGGCCTAGTGCAAACGAAATGTGGAACGCTTATCTTGCAGTTTGTTCAATTTTCATTAGTTGTATAAATAATTAAACTCATTCATTATTTAGATTCAGCGCATTCGATTATTAATAGATGATGAAACTGACTTTCATAATCTAGTCAATAAGAATCTAAATTCATTCGTTATAGTAAGTTCCCTCTTTACAATATTATTTGTTGTCTTTTTCTTCTCGTCAATGGAATACGGCCCAACGAAAAATAAACTAACTAACGCTACAACTGATATTCGTGATTGTTAATTATATTGTCACTCTCAAAAAGCCGTGATATTTTGACGATATTTTCTTACTAAACACGCAAATTAAGTTTTAGTGTTTCGATATCCTACGACACAATGTTATGTGCATAAGTTACACATTACTGTCAATAATGCAATGAAGACTGACTGACTAAGCTCGTCTTTGAGAATGAAATAAATAGGCTCCAACCTTTAAAACGAAAGATTTGTTCACTGTGAGCTGGTTTCGTCTCATTATTTTGTTTCTGTTTCAGAGTACATTTCAGGAGAGTAACTACTTCTTCAATGTTTACTATTCTCAAATAACTAACTACATTCAATCGATGCACAAACTTTCATTTTTAAGCGATCAGTAAGTTGTATGTTTTGTGTTCGTATAAGGTTTACCCAGTAATTGTTAAAAATGAACGCTTGTGTTTATCGGACGAACATGACCAACTAAAATATTCAGATCAGTAAATTTATAGCCACAATTAAAAGGAGTTACAAAATTAATTTGATTCGACCGTCCAACCTGATGATCTGTTTCCATCCGGTTGGAAGCCTGTGTATAAATTGCAACCTGATGGCAAAAATATTCAGTCACCGCAAACAGCTGATAAAGTTATGGGGAACACTATTTATTATGCAGTGTTTAGTTGGTGGTAATCAAATGCTTTTTTTCAATTGGTGGCAATTAGTTGTAAAATGTATTGTGGGAACAACTCCCGCATTATTTATTCTTTACAAGAGTAAATAACTAGAATGTTCTTTGTTTGTATAGTCTTCAGTGTGATAAAGGTTTTAACTGTATATGATGATGCCTGTAGTTTCGTCTACGAGCAGATTGACATTATGGAATGGAAACAACTGGCTTTAGTTCTGTATTTATTTTCGAATATTTCAATAGTCATTATCTTTATCACGAAACATAATGTTTGTTTTTTACTCACAAATACTTGAAACGGTACTGTTTAGTATTATACAACAAGAACCTGGAAATGTGAAATACCCTGATATCTATTTGGCCGCTGCATTACTTAACTCATCCTTTCCGAATGCATCACATTCAATGCCTGAAAAATATGGAATTTCGGGTTGGCTTATTGGTCGTCGACTAATATCTGAAGGTACGGTTCAACATTCCGTATCTTATTTGATCTTTTAATAAACAAAACCTAATATTCTGAATCGATTGTAAACAGAAGAGATTTTTTATCTTTGTTTCTGTTAACACTCTACTAACTGTAGCATATGGATAGTTTGATTGAGCGCTGTTTCTGTTCATTTGTCAAATATGCATGAACTAAAACATCTGCACCTTTATAGTATACAGTCCAGCGTGTCTTTAGTGCGTATATCCATATTACTTATATTCCAAATTACTCGTAGGAAAAGAAAACATTACGACTGCGAATTACCTATCCATGCATAAATCTCTGAAGATATTGGTTTGATGGTGGATATGATTTCGTGCGAAATCAAATATATATATTTGGTTTTATAAGACATAAATTTAAATGAAATCACTGTTCATTACTGTTGAATCGGAAATCGTGATCCTAATTTGTGTATAATTCAATTCTAATAAATCTAGATCAATGTATTAAAAAGTTTGATTTATTAAAGTGTTTTAAAGTACACTGGCGTAAGCTGTGAAAACTAATTCCGATTGTGAAATGTTGAGAACTTTGTAAAGATTTTGTTGACAGAAGTTTGTTATTAAAATTAGGAACACACACTCCAATTCTAACCCGTGAACGAGTCATGAATTGAAACAACCATTTTGCATTGATTTTTGAAAATTAAATAATCATTGGATGAAGTTTGCATTACAGGTTTTACTAAATATCAGCTGCCTGAACAAACACACACTCAGTTAACATGTGGACTAGAAAATCTATCACCGATTAAGAAACAACTCTGTTGTTTATTAAAACAAAAGAGTACTGAGGCGACTGGAATCACAGTAAGTATTTATTGAAGCGAAAATTTTTTTCAAGAATAGTTTAAATATTGAATCCAGTCTATGAAACGTCTTTTAGGTGTAAATTTTGAAATGACATGTGACATGAATATATGATTTCGAGCGATTTAGGATAATCCCTAACCATTGAAAAGAAAATTGATTTCATAAACGTACTAGATGTCTCTTGAAAAAAAAATTGAAATGTTGTTTACTCCTCGCATGAGATTAGTTCAAAAGCAGATTTGAGCGGAGACAATGGAAAATATCCCTGGACTGTTTGTGTCAACTCTGAAGACACTATCACCAACTGAGCTATTGTTTTCAACCAAGGATAGCTACTTAGGGCTTATGTCAGAGTTGCAAGAACATTGATAATCATGACATGATTTCATTCCTCTATGCAGAACGCTAGATCGTTTCTACTGCCCTCAAGTGTTCAAACTATCGTTTAATATGCTCATTGTACTTGAAACGTTCAACATAAGCCGTGAATCATGAATAAAGGCAGTTCTGGAAGAAACGGTTACTTAATATCTTATTCTTATAATCAGTGACCAGTTACTCAAGATATTATTCACCATGAATCATATATAATGGAAGTTTATAAACGATATTTAGCGATTTATCCAGAAGGCAACATCATGAGTTACACTGCGGTAATTCAGACTACATACAATATTTGCTAAGCTTCACATAGTGATTTTGGACAATAATGTTTTGACGCTAAGTGTATGAACATTGATACTTTATTTATTGCGTATTTACAAAATAACATATAAAGTTTCTGTTGTAATTTGTTAAATCTATATATATGTATTTGAAATCTGATCATGTCTTTCAATTTATATAAAGTTCCAAAGGGTACAACATAAAATCTAAAAAATGGATATTCCTTGATACATTTTCGCAGTTAACAACTGGGTATTACACCGTCTCATTATTTTTTATGTCAATTAGGATTTGATCCAACTGGCAGCGGATATCAATGGTCTTATGTTATCCTTTTCAGTAAGCAAATTTTACAGATGTATTATCTGTTTTCTTGCAATGTCGATGACATTAGTAGTCCACACATGCTCAATAAAGTTTCTGTTTTCCGTTAGAACAAAGCGGATATGCTCGTGTAAACAAAAAAGCCCTCTGAATAATATGATTTCGAAGTGATGACTTATTTGATGTTTTATTTTCTTTGAGGACAATTCGATTTGTGATTGATAAATACGTGATGTTCGTATAATAGTTAAGTGTGAATGAATTGAGATTGATTATGATCGCCACTGCCCGTCACATATATCAAAATTATTCAAGTCTGAATATTTCATTGAAGAAGAAAGTACGCATAACATAGGGAGCAGCACGTTATGCAAAATTGCAGCAACGCGAAGAGAACTTTGCAAGCAAGAAGTGTTTTTCGGTACAGTTAAACAAAACGATTCTATTAATGTTTATTTCCTAAATCACGTTTTCTTCGTAGAAGCGTTCCCCTACAATAGGATGAAGCAATTGCTAAACTGTAACTACTTAAAAAACGCAGTTTCAAGTAACACTTGTGAAGCCTCTTTCTGAACAATACCACGAATCATATCAATGTTTCAAGGAGGTGGTTGAAAAAAAAACAATCTTTCTGCATATAAATTTATTCAGTCAAAGAAATATATTAGAACAGCTGTGAAAATAAGTTAATTTCTGTTGTTCATCGTTTGACATTTTCTGTAGAGATATAAGGACCTAGTCATGGCCAATGGTAATGATTTGCATAAAATGAAATCGTTTTTTGAAGCATTCGTTAAAGTAAGTTATGCAAACATCAAATCTTATTCAAACAAATATCTCTCTCAATTTATCCACTTACGATGTGATGCATTAGTGACGTTTATGATCAGTGGACTAGTTAGCTTACAATCCAACCATTTTATGCAACAAATATACTACACAAACTAAAGATGTTAGTTAGTAAGTTAGACAGAGTAAAATTTTTTAACGAACAATTTCGGAAACTGCAAACCCTGAAAACTCTAAAATTTCACAAACCAATAACCAATAAACAATACTCACAGCGGGAAGGGTCATTTTCTTTTGCTAATAATACTTTAGTCAGTCACAGTGAAATACAAAGTAATCTATCAGTTCGAACACAAAATATTTCATTTACAGCACGTTTGTTAATCGGCATGTTTGCAACATGTTGCAGAACATAACCTAGTTGAATACCTTGTAACCTGATTTGGTAAATTTTATAACAGTTCGCGCCCTAATTCTAGTTATCGTCAATGTTATTATATGTTAAGCAGTCGACTTTGAAGCTGCTTCTGAATTTCATCACTTTGCCGTCCATTATTCTTAAACCGTTCTTTATTTAATTACAATAAATTATCATTCTTGTGAATCACTTGATGTTTCATGATTTCTCTCTAACTACGTCCTTTCATTGCATTTGAAGTCGTTGTGTAATGGCCTTCCTTCAAATCTGGTTCGTTATACGTTACAGTCTCCCCAACAAAAATATAAATTGAGGTAATCCTTTTGTGAAAGCATAAGTTTATCCAAAGTGTATCAATGTTATTCGTTTGAAATATAGATAATCTATTTCCGAACATTAAGCGTATCCTCCTTTTTTCTAGCGTCAATGAAATTCTGAAACACTCCAAGGACTTTTCTGAAGCATACCAATGTCCACCTGGTTCCGAAATGAATCCTTCGGATAAATGTATTCTTTAAAGTGATGATCAGTTTGCGTGTGTGTGAGTATCTTTGCTTATATGGCCGTGTTTCTGCCATTGTACCTGCTAAATTCCTAATTTTAATAATAATAATAATACTGATGTTTATTCTCAAATAACTACGTTACAAGAGGCATGCCAGTTTACATGCTAGATCAAGTTGCCACAAATGCTTTCACAGGTACTATGAAAGTTATTGCAGTTAAATTAGGTATAACAGTCAGTTTGTGATAGCACATTTACACCATGTCACTGACAAAAGTATTATGATAGAGCCACGTTTTCAATGGGCGAGTATGAAAAAAGAAGGTGCACAGTAGGTTTCTTGTGCGGTTTGCTTAAAGCAATAGTGAATTTGTTGGGAAAGTGGTAAGTCAAGGTAAAATTCATACTGACCACTAAAATTGGAGTAAATTATGGAAATATAAGAATATAATCCACAAACGAAGGAAGGCAGAATGAACATTGAAGAGTTATGGATTGTCACGTGGATGGAAGATAAGTTGTAGTAAGAAGCTGGATTTATGTACGTTAAAATCGAAATTTCAGGTAAAAGTGTTGAGTTTGTAAAAACAAAACACTGATTAAAGAACGTTCCCACTGTCTCACTGTTTTATTATTATTATTATTGAACGCTGACCGCTAAGTCATACGGTGGGCGCTCGAGTAAGCATGTTGCGGGTGTTTCGACGGAAAGGCGACCTCAGCATACTTTTGGAAACATGAACCTCAGAATTAGCAAGCGTTTAAGAGCAATCTCAGTGTTAATGATTAGTCGCCTCATCAATTTAAAAAGCCGAAAGGAAACAAAATGTCCTGCCACGCAAACATGGCTGGTTAGTACCTCTACTCTCCCTCCTTTTGTGTTGTTAGGCTCATGTTAAATAATTAAATGAAACTAATAAGTTCTACTTGATGCTCTGAGTCTCACATACCGTTGAGAAACACTATTTCTGCAAGTTTTCTTCATAAACTTGTCTGACTGTTCCAATTTATGCCTTATTTTTTTGGCATCAATGCAATACCGTTAACAGTTATGGAGAAATTGATTGGACTTTAAGACAAGATTTAAGCAATTAGAATATAGTGATGGAGATGTTCTTAACTAGCTGAGCAGGAGATATAGAGAGTAACACAGTTAAAAGTGGAACAATAGATAACACTGAAGATCAATAGTAAGTCTATAGAGTTTAGGTGAGAAAAGTATAAAAGATAATAGGCAATGTGAAACTCACTCAGTTGATAAGGTTGCGTCCAGGAAAGTAGAGTGCGTTCTAACCAACCAGTTTACAGTTGAACAGTGTCGATCGACCCAGTGAATAGAGTAACCTGTCTATTTCAAACAAAAAATAAGGACATTTATATTCAGCTGGAAAAATTTAATGCTATTTGGGAGGGTAAGAATGAATAAATAAGGCGCCGCACTAAGTTCTATGTATTTTAATTGTATGCAGACCAAATAATATGGAAGCAGGTTGAGAGTGCGTTCACGAGTGCAGATAAGTAAGCGGAACTTTTAGCTTCATTAAGATGTTTTGTAAACTCATATAACCCACCTGACATGCGTTTTTCGGGGAGAGCCTATTCCATTTAAGTGCAGTTTAACTAAATGGAAGTTTTCCTCAAGTCTTGGATCTATGCTTCCCACGTTTGACCGTAGATACTCTATCTCGAAAGTTATGTATACATGAGCCATGTATAATGACTAAGGTATAAGATGAGTATCTGAGCTTGTTTAGGTGTTTAAAGTCAAGGATTAGATTAGAATTAAGCATTCTTTTCCATAATGGATCATGCTCGAGTTTATTACAGCGAGTTGCATAGTCAATGAGTGAACTATGGTTAAGGACCTTGCGAGTAAAATTACTTTGTAGAGGTAGGTATTACCATTTTTGAAACAAGTGCATACGATGTTGATGTAGATTATGAAAAGCAGTGTACCCGAAACACTGCCCTGCACATCATCACTGGTAATTGGCCGATGTGAAGACGTATTAGAATAGATTATCGTAATCTGTTTGTGAAGAATGACGTATTCCATTCCAACAGGTGACCAGTAATCTCGATGGACTGATGTCTGTTGATTAAGCGATTGTGAGATACTTTATCGAAAGCCTTTTTTATGTCGAAATACAACACGTTTAATAGTTGCTTTTGATTGTTTACGCTGGTAACATTTATAAATAAATCCAACAGATATGTGATACGTGACCTAGTTCTAATGAAGTCATGTGAAGAGGGGTGAATGTGACCTATCCTGAATAAGTGATTCGATAGTTGTCCTTTTATCTCTTTCTCCATTACACGTGATATAAATGGGGTGATATTAATCGGTCTTTAGTTTTAGACCCAGCCTTTCGGCATTTCAAAAAATTTGAAACGTATCTCAGCCGCACCACAGCTGCTATTGGGTTCGAGGGTCTTAACGGCTGATTGAGGGAAAACCATGTACTAAATAGTTCACAAATAACACCTTCGTCATATTAACTCTGTCCATCATGTAGTCTGGAATGAATTCTGAGATAAGAGTCTTTTTTATGCGTTTGTTAAGCAAACGACTGAGGTTTTTGGATTCACACGCGTTAGCGAGAGCATTTTGTTCTTCGATTTGCCCACGCACTTCATGTTGGTTTTTCACACCTTCAAGTAAAGCGTGCATTTGGTACAGGACACATAAAGGTTTGCAGCTCCGTTCGGGAGATTGTTGCATTTGGATTGATAGATTGTGGAAAGCCAGTTAACAGCAAGGCAATATATTCCAACAGCTCCACGTCTTATTTCGAAATAATTTATTTTAGATAATAAAAGAGATAATATTATGGATTCGTGGGAAAAATCTTTTCCACGTCTACCGAAAATTGTTTATTGGTACAATTGCACCATGCCTGATCAGGTTACTCTGATCGTGCTGAGCGCTTGTGAGAAATGATCAAAGACTGCGTTGAGCAAATGTCCATCAAGCGATATCCATCATGACACAGACAGATATGAAGATATCAGAATGATCATTTCACTTTACACGATTTGTTGTCTCCCAAAGTTGCTAAAACATGTCAATTTATTTCAACACAGTGAAATATCGAACAACTTATTATCCTGTAGTTCGAGTGAATCAGAATATTTGTATAAACCTCTTTTTCTGACGAATCTAAAAGTATTCAACGTTCAGCTTATTTTCTACAATGTGTAAGTAAAAAATAGATGCAAGTTAATCAGGTGTTTATAAATAATCACTGCGAAATATGAGAAATGCTCTCCGGGCAGCGGCGTTGTCCGACGGATCTGAGAAGTAAATGCACTCAGTCAAACATACACATCAGATCGCATTCAATCCTTATTTAACACTAATCATTGTAAATTGTCATAATCAATGGTGGATTGATTTGTCGTTGATGTCACTGCATCAGAATTGTGGAGAGTAGAGTTGTTAGATTGTTGACATCAGCAGTATTTATTTCTTTAGGTCGAAAGAATGATATCAGTTGTGTACTGGAACACTTTTTCGGACTGTATAAATTACGAATTTTACAGTGATGTTATTTATGTATTATTGTTCTTTCATCGCAATTTAACAATATAGATATAAAGCTATATATATTGATATTAACAATATAGATAAATATTTTTTCCCTCAAAGACTAAACAATATGTGCCAACTGAATATCCTCGTTGAACAATGATGAGTTAAAATTTTAAAATTTAGATAAACCGTTATTAATAGATTTATCTTGACAGGAATAAATGATTTTTAGGTCAAAACTATCTGCATACAGGGAGCAATGTGTGCAAATAAGAACTTTGTAAGAACAACAGGATCTTATGACGATTCAGAATGGATGAGTTTTGCAAGTTTTTCAATGTGTGCCTGCGATTTTCGATAATTCTACAAAGAACATAAAGTAAAGTTACGTTAAACTTGTAGATGTCTTTCAACGCTGGGTAATTCGAGATTGAAATATTTGTGTTCGTAGGATATCGTATAATACTAAGGACAACTCTGAAACTTGGCACGAAATCTTACTGCTTCGATTATTTTGAATTCGTCTATCCTAGGTCGGTAATCAGTTCGGGCATACATATTTAGCTTCCTTGGTGCTTTTCTTTAATTATTCTGTCGAAAAATAACCCTTTATTTCAAATTGAATTTTCGTCACTGAAATGTAAAGTGACGTGGGCGTGGGTGAGTTTGTAGTTACTAACCATGAGTGTAATATTGATTGAGTATGCTTTCTAAACTCAGTTTTCTGGAATTCGTCTGCCAGTCGACTTCAAGTTTGATGAAATCACAAGAAAAAATGGCGAGCAGCACACATTGTGAACGACTCACCGATAGCAATGTCGATCTATCGATGACCGGTGTTCAGTATATGCATACAATGTGTATTTTACGTTCATAGACATGCAAATAGTCAGTCGGATACAACGTGGTCCTTACGCACGTCATTCCACGTTGCCATAACATACTTTCACATAGACCATTTGGTCATTTCGAATCTAACAGTTGAAGATGCAGAAGAAATAAATGTCGTATTCGAAAACCTTTGGGTTGCACTTGTTAGTCAAGGGGTATAATCCAGTGAAACAAGCTTGAAAAAAGGATAAAATGATGAAGAATGTAGAGGATAAATATTTGAGAGAATACTAAGCATGCATTCACCTACACCATGGCAAACAGTTTTGAGTAATGTCGCTCAAGATCTTTACCGATTAATAACTATCATGCAGTGGACCTCATACAGGTAGTCAGAACATACCAAAAGGAGTCGATCCAGTTGCCGTTCACCCAAAAAATTTGTTTCGTGCTTTGGTATGGCCGCGCAAAACTGTCTTCGTATTCCTACACCGCAAAACCTCACTCATCGAGGTGGTAGCATCTATCTTATATCTCACAACCTCAAATGATAAAAATTCACTACTCCATCTGCTGATCTGCCATACTTGTCTGGTACTATTTCTAGATATCTCTGTTGCCTAATCAATAGTCCACAGAAAAATGAGCGCTGCTCGAGAGACTGCGATGTTCGAAATAAAGTAACCTACGATTATCCTTTACCCCTAATGGCATT